CAGAGTGTTTGAGTGTCAATTTAAGAACTGTTGTGTACGATACACCTAATTTACATAAGTGGAGTACCGACCATATAAATATGGGTTGGTACCGGAAGACGGGGGAAGATTAAGAGATCGAATCCAGAGACTCTGCCCGACTGCGACTTAGTCAACCCATTCTGCAGGAACAGTCTTCCCAAGAATATACCAAAACTACCTGTAAATATTGTGTACCTTTTTTCATTGTTTCAATACATTTTGTTACATACATTTTGTGTTGTATTATTATTATTCCATGCTTATTCAAGCTTCAACAAGAACAGTGCAGAGGATTTGGAAAGAGTTGGATGAGTCTAATGGTGATTATGAAGGTATGGCAGGTTGAAAAACTCACTCTGATCATTCTGATAAGAAAAGAACTCCCGAAGTTGGTGATGAGGGCCTCAGACTCAATACAGAGGCCTACATAAAGTGCCTTGAGGTGGTAGCATTGCCCTGTGCCAAGATAGTGGCTGCTGGAAGATCCTATATCTGGTAACAGGACTTGACACCATGCCACACAAGCAGAAGAACCTAGTGATGACTGTCAGACAATTTCTGTGACTACATCATCCATTACATCTGGCCACCTAACTACCCAGACTGCAACCCCCAAGATTATTATGTGTGGCACACAGTTGAGCAAGAGACCAACAAAACACCTTGTAAAACCAAAGATCAACTGAAGGCAAGGATTATGACAGCATTTACCAACTCAACAAAGAGACCATCCAGAAGAGTTGCAGGAGATTCCAAAGTTGTCTGGAGGCAGTTGTTGAAGCCAATGTGGATTTTGTGAATAAATTTAGTAATTAGTATTTGAAGATATTTTTGTGTAATTTTGGTAAATATATCTGTTAAAATGAGATGTCAGTGTTATTTTCATTTTTGTGTAATTTACAGGACAATTTATCCATTGCACACTGTATGTATATATTTCAATAGTCTTACAAATATACATTGAAATTTTAATCCTTGTTTGCTCTTTCCCTTGCTCGTTATAAACATCAAGTACGGTATAATTTTAAGAAAAGGAGTAACAAGTAGCAATCCATTTACATATAATTGAAAGCTTGTAATTTTGTTGATAACATTTTCATTTCCTGTATATTTATAAACAAGGCAGAAATACTGTAGTGAAGTGTGCTAGAGGATTTTACGTGACAAGGTTGATGTTGCTGGTCACAAAAGGAGTTGTGACTTGAGGATAAAAGCTTTCAGAATAAACAAATTAAATATTTAAAAAGAAAAAAGAATTCAACACATAAAGGATTATCTTGTATATAATATATATATATATAAGAGACCTGGCTCACAATAGAAAAGAAAGAGAATATTATTATATTTACAAAAACTGCCAAATAAGGAAAAAAAATATTTATGTACCTAGCTGTAGAGTGTGTGTAATTTGCATGTGGTTTGTTTGAAATTACATAGTCAGTTCGCTGAGCAATTAAGTCTCCCCAGTGGCAAAGACTGGCTACATCTTCTGCCTACTTCATCTTGGAGTAAGAAAGAGAAGGTTTATGTCCTTTCTTTTATAGTCCTCAAACAATGCCACTTAGCTTCATCCTGGCAGACAAGATGAGTGTAATCCCCATAAGACTGATCCTTAGCTTGAATTTAACAAATCATCAATCATATATTTGCTTTATTAAAATTTATAAAAAATGTTTTCTTCTAAAATCCAAATATTGCTGAGTAAAATGCTATTGCTTAGACAAAAGATAAGATTAAAGTGTCAAATTTGAGCTGTTCAGATCAATAAAAATGTACAGAAAAAGTTTAAATTTTCCTAATCTTAAAAGAAGTTTGTTAATCTATAAACAGTATATATATTGCTTCAAAGATGCAAATCAGACAAACTATGCTGTTTATTTGCATCAATATTTTAATATTTTATTTTAATCAATATATTTTCATTCTTGTTAATATTTTTATTATATTTTTGCCTATGTGTTATATACACTTTTGTAAAGAAGCAGATATTATTTCTGTCAATATGCAAAAATCAATGAAATGATGTCAGTTATTTTTTTCATATGTATGTGTGTGTGTGGTTTTTCATTTTTAGATAAAGACAAAACAAGATATAATTTTTATGCACGAGACAGTCAGACAGACTGACCAAAAATGATTTTTGAACAGAATATAATTTCACAAAAAAGTAAAAGTAAAAATTTATCAATAACTAAAATCCTATACTTCATAAAATTCATTTCCTTCTTGCTTTGCAGACAATAGATTTATTTTTACATTTTTTGGGGCTAAACTTAAAGCTAAGGAAAATAAAATGGAATTTTTTTTACTGTGTATTATACTGCAAAGATGTCTTATTAATAAATTTTAATAATAACATTGCTTTTCTTTAAATTATAATAATAATATTACAAATAAATCACATAAAAAATTGTTATTAGAGCATAAAAATGAGAGTTCAATAGAATAAAATTATATCTCAAGTGGAGATCTCAGTAGAGAAATTTGACAAAGGCATAGAAGCAAGATACAATGGTATAAGCAAGAATTAAAACAGTTTACCTGGGAAACTTAAAGGTAAATGTTTTTTTTATTCTTGTTTGGATTTGTGTATATTATTTGGAAATGTAAACTCCTATAAAAACATACTTATAAAAATTTCAAAAATTTTATTTTCTGAAAGAAAATAAAACCTGCTGCAACAGTATTTTCACTATTGGCTGAATTAATAACGAAAAAGAAAAAAATGCAAATCAGATTCAATTACAAAAAAAATATTTATTTATTTCTAACCAGCTAAATAAGGGGTTTTGCAAAAATTCATCCCTTTTTGCTGAGAATAAGATAACCTATTCTCTGAGTAACACAATGTAAAATATATATCAGAAAAACGAAACTTAAAAATTACAATGCAAAAAAAAAAAAAAGAATAGCGCCCCCCCCCCCTGCTGTGTCAATGATAACAATAAAAAAAGGGAGGAGAGCCTTAGCTCTTCAGTAGACTTTCAGTCCTTTCAAGGTTCAAAAGTTTTTCTTTTTTTTTCTCTCTTGTGTAGACAAAGTTCTCTTCTTGGTGACCAAACTTCTTTCTTCATTTATTTTCCTCCGTTCACCTGGAAATTACGCTTTTCTTTTACGGCCGCTAGAAGATGAAACTTTATTTAAACACGTGCTAAAACACTTTTTGAAAATGCACGTGTTTGCTCTTTCTCCTTTTTCTCAAATGGCTTTAGCCCCAAACTCCACTTATGGACTTCTTTTCAAACTTTCTTTTCTGGGGATTCTTCGAGAGGACTTCTCAAAACTTTCTCTGAAGGGGAAACTTGTCCTCAGCAACTTTGTTACCCATACATCCTTCATTTATGGGCAAACACTGCCTGCCTTTTCAGCAGGGAGAGAGAAAATGAACCTCTTCTTTCTAAGTGGTCTCGTTTCCAATTGCTGCTAAGGTCCACCCACAGTTCTCCCTTCCCTTTCAAAGGGGGCGGTTCACCTTTGAACCAACCGATTACAGTCCATTAAAAAAAATATCAGCAGGTTCTTAGGGCCAGTAACACAATGAGTATCTTTTGTTCTACCTTGACCTAAAATTTTCAAACAATAATGCAGATTTTACTCAAATTTTAAGATTTTAAAATGAGTAAATACTTCCATATATTACTAAAAGGAAATATTTTTTTATTTTTGTAGGTCATTTTTATTATTTTTTTCTGATTTCATATATTTATAATATAGAAATAAATAATTCTCAAATCAAAAAGAAATTTTTTGAATTTTGAGACATTTGGAACAATGCATTTCATCAAGGATTCAAATTTTATAATGTTTATGACTATAAATTTAATCCTACAAAGGATATAAAGAAAACATTAAAAATCCAAGTATACTCAAATGATAATTCCTTGTCTTTTTGATGTTGTTATAAATTCTATTTCATAATTATTAATATAAAATATCTAGATTAATAATTATAACAGTAACAACTTGCTTCAATGAAAGCAGATAGGACTATTGTTTTAAGTATCTTGATAAAAATAATTCTTGGTGGTAAGTATAAAATGCATATAGAAATGATGGACAAGTAAAAATCATATTACTCAGGTTATCATAGTCAAAGAGTTGAAAAATCTGATGCTAGAAGTATTATTCTCAAATGGTTTTGATTGTTACTTGAAGAGGAATATTCCTAATTCGAGCTACCTTTCTAATTCACTATCACTGCTATCCACAGTGAAATCTAAAGTAAAACAGAAAAATTGTATATATGAGGAAAATAAAGAAATGATATATTATTCTATTTATTGAATAAATCATCAGGCAAGACCATACATCCAATATCTTTATAGGATGAAAGAAATTCAAATAATAACAGAAATTGTGAGCTTGCTAAAAAAGCATGCCAATATGGGAGATATTATTTCATTAAAAAAACCTAACAAATAAAATAAAATTAAAGGTTGAAATAAATTTCAGCACAATGACAGATAACAAAGGAAAAATGATAGTAAACAGAACTGAAAGTCATGGTGGAAATACAGATTACAAATGACATTTCATATGCAATCAACAGATCAAAGATTTGAAGAGGGGTAATAATGGATTAGCATCAGAAAGTCTAGAGATCAACAGCAATAAAAAAACTGACTAAACTTAATGAAATTAAGTATCATTAAAAATTATAGAATTAAAATGTAAAAGAAGTTCATCATTTCAACATTCTACTGCTTTAAGTCATTGGTAATGAGCTGGCAATAATAATAAATTATATCTTGCAGAACTTTAACAACTTAATGTATAGAAATGACTTTAAAAATTGAAGGAATTGAAAATAAAAAAGAATTGTTAATTACTCATTAATAGGCTATATTAAACTGAAATTAGATAACAATAATAATAATCATGGAGGTCACTTAGGAACATGTTTGTTAAGACTGATTGTTTGATTGATTGTTTGTAGGTTATTTAAAGCCAAAACATATTTTGAATTGTAAGAGGCTGTTTACAGTACCTGATATTTCGAAGTAGTCCTCCATCCAAGTACTAATCAAGCTTAACACTGCTTAACTTCAGTGATTGAATGAGAACTGGTGTTTTCAACATGATTTGACCATAAGTGATTCTTGAAGAGGAAGACTAAAGGTACGATCTGTGCAGTCAAGAGCAGGCTTAAAGAATAAATTCCATCAAGTGCTTTATTGATCCGTTTCCTGTTGCATGGACCATGCACAACTTTTATTCAGTAAGTTGTTTTTAGCTAAGCACTTTGGTTGAAACCTAATAGAAATCTTGGTTAAATCTCTATCCAATTGAATTCAGAGTTGCCCTTTTAGACTGGTTGCCCACCATTTCTGCCTTGCTATTTAACCCATGTTATGTGAAAGTATGCACTCAGCTGCCACAAAATGAGTACAGATGGTACCATGACAAAGTAGAACTCAGAATAAATTTGAAACTATACAGAAAATATGGTTATGAGTGTGCAGAGAAGTGGTAGTAGCTGAGAATGAACAAGTGAATCTCATGTGGGATATAACAATCTTGACTGACAAATTCTTGGGAAGCAGTCTTCCTGATCTCACACTTGTTCATATGAGTAGTTATGAATGGATCCTGATAGATATTATGGTACCCTGGGATAAGAACATTGTGAAAGCAGAACAGGTGAAAACACTGAAGTTCCAAGACTTGACAGAACAAATCATAAAAATGTACCAAGCAGCAGCAGCTCATCTTGACTCTTTTCATGACCATTGGTGTACTCAGGACTATTTCCAGGAATTTCCTTGGTATACATGACATCAGTGGTAATACACAGGTGGCAGCACTACTTGGAACAGATCATGTGCTAAGAAAGGTGTTGTCTCTAAGCTGCAGGTAGGAGTTGAGATATGATCATCATTAGCATTAGAGAAATTGAATTCTTATTAATGAGTCCCCTGGTCAGTCTCAAAAGAAATTATATTAACTCCAGCAAAAATATCAGTAATATGATAATCAAATGCAGAAAGTTAAATAAAAGGGATTTTATAATTTAATAATAATATCAATTACCTAAGAACATTGAAAATATAATTTTATGACAAAATTTAAAGATGTGTATTTTTAAACAGTATTAGAGAATGATATGTTTTTAATTTTGAATCACATTTTGGTGAGTCAATAAAGTTTAAAAAAATTAAATTAAAAATGATAGTTTAATATATTTAAGGAGAATTCAACTAAAATATAGCTGACAACACAATCAGCAAGAATGTTTGAGTCATAGGATATTTAAAAATGGTGCTATTATATGAAACTTGAGTAAAATAAAGTGAAAAACATTACAAAAAAAAATTGAAAACAAAGACTGTGAAAAAAAAGAAAAAATGAAAAAATGAAATAGAAATAAATGGAAAGATGAATGAAGAACAAGGAAGTGAAAATACCAAAACAAAAAAGAAGAGAAACCTGCTAGAAATTGAATTAAAATGTATTTTCCATCACAGAATGATAATTTTGATTATTTCATTCTGGTCAGGTTGATTAAAATTAATCTAAAATAAACCAGGACATTACAGAAGTGTTCCTACCTCTTAATAAAGTTAGTTTTGCATCGCATCAATTGATTAAGCTACATGGATTTTAGTGCACTGAACCTCAAGTTGATCAAAATTGGATATAATTTATTCTTTCTTCTCTTTTATGCTTTTTTCCCATTGAGTGAATCTCTATTTTTTATTCCAACTGCAATTTAAAGAAAAGTGAGTATTTTATCACCATCTGTTAAAATCACACTTAAATCAACTATCACATGACAAGAATATTTTTAAGTCTAAATGCATATAAAAGTAGACTCATGACTGACAATGATTTTGATCATTGTTCAGTGCTCAAAAATTATGGCTTTGTACCATATTTTGTTTAGTTCTTGTAATGCTAAAACTTATCTTAAATTAAAAATTCTAAAATACATTTTGTATAAAAATATTTGTTTTCTATCATTATTAAATTCAATTATCTTTACTTTTGGATATTAAAATTCTTCATCATTTCAAATGAAAATTAATATTGTTTTTATTTTCTATCCATTAGGTTGCTGTTGACATTTCAGCTTAATAAATCAGAAATCCTTTGAACTTACATAGGATAATTGATAAAAGTTGGTTATATGTATTGTTTGTTAATCAAATATTCATTCAACAGTTTGCCCAAAAATAAAGAATTCCCTTTGAATTCCAAGGAAGAAAGAAAATAACTTTTCCACAGCCAGTAGATTGTGTTTAGGGTGAGGAGTGAAAGACTGTCCTAAATCTAACCACTATTTTCTTCTTTGATTCCCATAATACACCCCCCCAGCTCCACTAATGATTATTTCTCGAAACAATAAAAAAAGACAATTGCTGAGATTCTAACTTTTGTTTGTTTCTATAAGTTCATGTGGAACCAATTTTCCCTGCTTTTGAATTGTTCTTAATTGACTGATTCATCTCTAATTTTTCTGCAAGTTATCATGTTGCTTGTTCCACATCTTCTAAAGGCTTTCTAATTTTCAAGTCTTGTTGTCTTTCTAAACAATCTTTGTTCTTGAATTGAAAATCTCCTTTTTTTTACCCCCAACCATTCTCAATATATATATGTATAGCATCATAAGTAATAAGTTTTCAGTAATGCACATTATCTTCTCTTTTGTTGCACTTTTACTCAGATTAAACTTGTTGAATGTGCATTTTATATCCAACCATGACTTTTACCAAATTGAAATAAAATTATGACTTTTCAGTGAATAATTAAAGATTTTGGTTGCCAAAAGAATAAACATGTAACCATTAGTTCTATGCTAACTGATTTTTCTCTTGCATGAAGCTTGTGGAACACTTTTCTGGCTTTTTGCTTTCCATTCAACTTTGTCAATTGTTATTGTTTGTCATAATTCCTCTTCTTTTATTGTTCTCTCTCCTTAATGTTTTCTATTTCTCATATTCTTTAATATCCCTTACATGACTAGCTCATTCACACTTGTGTGTTCAGAACTCAGGATATTTTACAATTGTAGATTTTTTTATACCTACATTTAGAATCAGTTTTTTACATTTCCTCAAATTTAATCCAAGTAAAGATTCCCTGTTTTAGGTCAGTCAGGATCACTACTTTTATTTTAAGAATATGAAATGTCAGAACAGCGGTATAGATAATGATCTATTTAAGCTTTTATTTCTTTTATCACATTGCCAGTAGATTAGAATTTTATATGCACTTCATATTTCATAGTATTGCATTTAAATTGTTTCACTTGGGTCAAATATTTTGAATAGCCTTCCATGAGCTTCTCTCAATAAACTGCAGGAATTCTGATTGATTCCTCCTGACAGACATGTCATAACTGAATCAGGTTTGTAGTCCTCTTTGCTTATACCTGCTTTTTCATTTCTACCTACATATTTTCTATTGGATTGAAATTAGGACATTGTGATGGCAAATCCAGTACCATGATTTTGTTTTCCTTAAGCCATTTTACCACACCATTTGAAGTTGCGGTCATCGTCTGTATGAAAAAAATATTTGTGATCAAGTCTTAACTTTCTGGCTGATGTCTTGCAAAGTTGCTTCAATATATTCAAATAATTTTAATTTATTGTGATGCCATCTATTTTTGGAAGCACACCAGTTCTTCCTGCCGCAATGCATCCTAACACCTCATGGCATCTTCGATGAGATGGTATTATTTGGCTTGCAAGCCTTCTTCTTTTACTATCAAATGATGGTTATTACAACTAAACAGTTCAATATTTATTTCATCAGACCAGAGGACATTTCTTCAAAAACTAACATCTTATCCCCATGTGCACTTGCAAATTGTAGTCTGGCATTTTATGATTGTTTTGGAACAGTGGAGACTTTTCTTGCTAAGCAGCTTTTCAGGTTATGTCAATATAATAATCATTTTACTGTGGATATAACTTTGTAATTGTTTTCTTGGAATTGTCAAAAACTGAATTTAAATGTATTCAGGTAAGGTTTGTGTAAGAATTTGACTGCAGTGTGTGATATGAATGTAAGAGGATGAAATTGGAAGTGTAGCTTATGAAGAGGATATGGAAGATAGATAATAATTGACCCTACATTGAAAAGGTTAAGATTGTAGCATTTGAGAAACATTAATACAGGCATCTGTTCAACAAAATAGTGGTTCTTGGGAAGAAGCTGTCTGAATAGAATATACTTCTTACCAAAGGAATACATAGAGAATAAAGGTAATTCATGATCGAAGCATGACACATATATTGCTTCTGGTAAAGGCCTACCCACAGATGGCGAAAGTGACCTGCACAGAGCCCTGGCTTAAATCCTGCGAGAAAAATGTGTGGGACGAACTGAATACTGAAGCCCATGCCAAGAGACCATCAAATCTGGAGGAAATTGAAAGATTTACCAAGGAAGAATAGAGCAGAATTCCTAAGGATATGTGCCTAAAATTTGTTGAAAATTATATTAAATAGATATTGTTATTGAACAAAAAGGATACATAATTGACTGTTAGCATAAGGAATTGGGATGATAATAATGTTGACCTTAATTTTTTATTGAGTTTGTAAATTAATTGTTTCTCTGTGCAATGTAAAATAATATGAGGTCCAAAAATAAAACAACTAATACATATATATATATATATATATATATATATATATATATATATATATATATATATATAAAGTATATTTAGGCAGCAATTTTTTATTTATATGTCTTTAGTTAAAAACTGAAGTATTGAAAAATGCTTAACAAAGAAATTTCCTTGGTCTTTAACCAAACGTTTATACATGTGTGCAGATAGATAGATAGATAATATAGTGTAGACATAGGAATTAACACTGTGGTCAGAACATGTTAAAATACATATTTACATATATATAAAATTTAGTTTTCTAGTCATTGAAAATATTCTCAATCATATAATAGTGGAGATGTTATTTGACTTTTATTTAATGTTTATCTCTTCTATAAATAATAAATGAAAAATGTCAGTACTGAAATAGTCTCAAAAAATATGTTAGATCAAGCAGATGAGTAATTCGTATAGATCTGTGGAATTGTGAATTCCACCCTTTTGCGTGTGTGTGCACGCGCGTGGATTG